CTCATTCCACCATCTTTCCTGCCCCCATGCCCCTCTTCCCATTCCTTCCTCCCCTTGACCCCATCAAAGTTCCTCCATTCCCCCCACCCCCACCCCTGCATTATGGATCAGCATCCACTTATCAGAGAGAACGTTCAGTCTTTGGTTTTTTGGGATTGGCTTACTTTGCTTAGCATGATATTCTCCAACTCCATCCATTTACCTGAAAATGATATAATTTTATTCTCTTTTAATGCTGAATAATATTCCATTTTGTGTGTGTGTGTGTGTGTGTGTGTGTATATATATATATATATATATATATATATATATATATATATATATATATATATATCAGAGTTTCTTTATCCATTTATCTATTGAAGGTATTGAAGGGCATCTAGGTTGCTTCCACAGTTTAGCTACTGTGAATTGAGCTGCTATAAACCTTGATGTGGCCAAATCACTGAAGTATGCTGATTTGAAGTCCTTTGGGTGTAGACCAAGGAGTGGGATAGCAGGGTCAAATGGTGGCTCCATTCCAAGTTTTTTGAGGACTCTCCCTACTGCTTTCCAGATTGGTTGCACCAATTTGCCGTCCCACCAGCAATGTATGAATGTGCCTTTCCCCACATCCTCGCCAGCATTCATTGTTGTCAGTATTCTGCTTCTTACAATGACGTCCCACTATTGTAGACTGTTGTCAAGGTCTTCTGTAATCTATCCTCATCTTCATGGCTCACGTTCTGCTTTCTATAAGAAACCCATCTTTGGTCACCCCAGTCTCCTTATTTCCCCAGACACTCTTCCCCTCTTCTGGTATGCACTTGCTGGGCTCCCGGGAACTTTCCCAGGGATGCAAGCCCCTCCCTCAAGACCTCCTTATGGTCCATATCCTGGACACGTGGACATGTGGCTACAGAGTCCTGTAGCATACTCGCTTGCTCAACATGTAGGTCTTACAGCTTCCATGCATCCGGGAGCTCTTGAAGTGCCAGCGCTGTGTCAGGTGTTTCTTTCATGGACTAGCCTGAGTCCTGGAACATGATAGCAGAGGTTGGGATCCTGAACTCCAGAGTCTGGCTGCCCAACACACCTTCATGTTTTCCTAGCTGTGTGGCTGTGGGTGATTTACTTGTCCTCTCTGAACTTCATTTTCTGCAAAATCGGGGCACCACTATTACCTGCCTATTACTCACTAGTTAATGTGAATAGTTTGAGTGAATGAGTGAGGTATTTAAAGTAGGTCTTGGTATGTATGTTCCGGAAGTGTCAACTATTTTTATTTCACTGGATTATTCTGCAAATTAAATGAGATAAATCATATGAAACTCTCAGAGAGGTGCCTGACCTTTAAGAAGCATCAATAAATTATAGTTATGGTTATTATTATTTTATTTAACAGATGAGGAGGCTTGGTGGAAAAGAACATGGCCACAGTGATGATTGCTGTCAAATCTTTGAAATTTACAAGCTGGAATTCTAGTGACCTCTGATTTTAAAGATGAGAGATCTGAGGTTGGGGAGATTGAGGCACGACTAGAAACCAGCCGAGCACCCAGACAGCCTGGCAGCAGGCCTGCCGCAGAACTGTTGTTCTCGGGCTCCTGGGGGGTTTCGAGCTGGTGGTGAGAGCCAGTGTGGGATCTGGGCCTGCTCAGTCCTGGTTCCCATCCTGGCTTTGCCACTTACCTCGGCAGGACACTCGATCCTCAGAGCTTGCATTTCCTTATCTGCGAGATGGGGACAGCAAGACCTCCCTCGTATGATGGTGGCAGGAATCGAGCAGGTAATTTAAGTAGTGCTCCCGGCCCAGGCCTGGCCCTGGGGGGGGGGGGGCATTCAATACATCTCACACTTGCTTTCTTCCCGTTGAAAACTTGAGCTACGGGTTGTATCTCTTGGTGCCTTTAATGAGTCTGTGGTGTGGGTTAAAACGCACGCAGTGACCAGAGAAGCAGCCTGGGCCCTGACTGTGTTATGAGCAGCCACCTGTGCATGGAAAACGCCAGCTGGGAGGGTCTGAGTGAGGGCAGGAGGGGGCAGAGAGGGGCCAGAGAGTGCCAGGGCGGAGCAGGCCACCCAGAGCCTCTGGACACCACTGGAGTTTTCTACTGTTTGGACTGAGGTGGTGGCGACTCAATCAGCATGAATGACCAGGTAAGAAGCAACTGTAGGACCCACGACATTAATAAAGCCAGCGCCCAGGAATCCAGAATGGGAACACCCTCCCCAGCATGCCATTCCTGAGCAGGCAGAGTGACAGGGCTTGTCTGAGGCCCGTGAGGGGACACGACAGGCTCCCGCACACGTGGCCGCCCTCTGTGGGCTGTGCGGGCTGCGCCTTCCTCCTCCCCCTGTTAAAAGTTTAATCAAGGTGTGTCACCTTTCACAGGGTGGCTGTTCCCCGGTGACGTCTCTGCTCTCTCTGAAGGACAGCTGCTGGTCTGCGTGGCCGGGAGCAGCGATGGCTTCTTGGGTTTCCACGTGCTTTCCTGTCCCATTTCCCATCTGTGCTCCCCTCTCAGGGACACCTTGTGGCAAAAGTGTCTCCCAGTTCACAGGATTAATTTAGGAATCAAATGATTTCCTAGATATGTCCTGCTTGAGTGTTTGTATCAACATATTTGAAATACTCCACATTGATCCTCAAGAATAAGACCCTCCTAATAGCTATATGAGAAACACACGCAGAATTTTATCAGAGAGATTGAACAAGGGGGGCCCCATGGTTGGGCCGTCTGAGTTCAGATGTGACTGTGCCCCCTCTTAGCCATGGGTCTCAGGAAGCTACCAACCAGTCTGAGCTCACAGAGTGTCAAGAGGACGGCGGGAGACGATGCAAGGCCACAACAAGCCTCTCCATCAGTGTCAGCTATTTAATCATTGTTCATATCAATGTTATACAGGTTTGCACGTTTGGACTCTCTGAGGTAGACATGAGATCCCTTTAAAAAGCCCCTAAACTTGGGATCAGTTAAACACACACTTAGTGGAAACTTGCTTATCTGTAAAAGAGAGAGAGAGAGAGAGATGGTTGGACGGAGAGGCCTGAGATTCTTTGTGCCCCTCGAATGCTGACGAAAGCCATGACGGGAAGGGAAGGAGTGGGGGGAGGGGGGTTAATGTCATTGCCATCTATCAAGTCTCTGAACTTGACTGGAGTCCAGTGAAAAGATAGGGCCACGGAAAGAAACGCAGTTTAGATTTGCTCAAGGACCCTGCTTCTTCTTAAAGTCTTTCGAGGTTTCCATCCATCCGTCTGTCTGTCCATCTGTCCCTGACATTTGCTGGTCACCTACTCTATTTCAGGAACCAAGCAAACAACACCCATTCCCAGCCTTTAAGATATTAGAGAAGCTGGAGAGTCAGATGTAAAAAACGTTCTCAAGAATACCCACAGAGGAGCCTGCGGTTGCCAGCGAGCCTCAGGAGAGGCGCTGCCCTTCTGCACCCGAAGCAGTTTGCAAATGCAGATGCATCGTTGTAATAAGACGTTTTGAGGAAAAGAGGAGCTTCATCCACGCCAAGGGGACTTGCCTGCTGATCACACTTCTGACTTCACAAGTGAGATGGGCAAAGCTTACCTCGCCCTCGAGAGAAACAGACCCAAGGAGGGGCTGCAGAGGCGCCTCAGAGCATCCTTTCAACTGGCCTCCCGTTAACAGGGGTGTGAACACCTTGGGAAGGTCTTGCTGGGATCCAGTCCCCTGACAACTTCCTGACGGACCAGGAAATGCAGGAAGAGTGCTATTTGAGCACATAGCTGAGAGGGGTGGCATTGTCCAGGACCTGGGAGTGGGCAGGTACCATGCCCAACTCTGGTGAATGTCCCCAGCAAGAGGCTGCAAGGAGCATCTCAGACCTCATCCCTGCCTCTGTCCCCCAAACAGGGAGCCCTGTCACCTGAGTCAGCAGCTCAGGAAGGATTTGTGGTGAAGAGCTGCCCCTGTGGAGAGGCTGCAAGAGCCAGGGTGCCGAGGTCCTCAGGATGAGCCATGCCTGACCCCCTCCGGGAGTCGAGGACCTGAGTCACCGTCATTACTTTTGCAAAGTCTCATGTGTTGTTGACTTCAAAAAAATGAAACTTCAAGCTGGACAGCTGTGTCCTTTGGGACGAGGACAGAAGCTGAGATGGGCAGGGCTGCGCACAGCGTGGTCCTGTGAGCGTGCTGCTGACTGCAGTGGACCACCCGAGTGGGAAGGCGCCAGGTCTCCTGGACACCAGACGGGCTCCAGGACTGTGGGATACGGGGGGTAGGGACAGGCGCTAGTCGTTCTTCTGCATGGGCAAATCAACTTCAGGTAGGCAGCTTCTATGAGCTGTAAAAATGGCGATGACAGCACTTACTTCAGTGTGGATATTCAGTTTCTGACGGGGACCAGAAAAAAAAAAAAAGATTCACTTGCAGGGCTTCCCTGCTGTTAGGGCACCAGCCCTCAGGCACCGGGGAGGACAAGGCTCTGCAGGGCTCATCCCAGGGTGGGACAACAGTGAGCCTTTATGAAGTGCTTCCCACGGGCCACGGAGCCCAGCTGCTGCCCACCTTCTCCCACTCACTCCTCAGGTAAGCCCATGAGGGTGTCGTATCAGCCACACTCACAGGTGAGAAAACGGAAGTGGAGTTCGTGGCGGAGGTAGCGGCATTGTGACTATCAGGGCCTGTCTCTGGGGCAGGCTCGTCCAGCCACAGTACTATGACAAAGTGCCTGTGGCAAGTGAGGACACCAGATGTGGCATTCTCCTGTCCTGTGGGATCACCATGTGGCTGGGGTCAAGTGAGCCCTGAAGAAAGGATGGTATCATTTTGGCATCTGGTGGAATTGGAGATTCGTGGATCCTAGGCATAGAATCCTGGGCAAATGGCTGTGTCCTGTACCTTTATCATTGTCATTGCTACTACTGTTGGTATTATTTCTCAGTACTGGGGATTGAACTCAGGAGCACTCTATCAATGAGCTATATCCCTAGCCCTTTTTATATTGAGACAGGGTCTCTCTATGTAGCGTAGGCTGGCCTCAAACTTGGGATCCTCCTGCCTTGGCCTCTCAAGTAGCTGGGATTATAGGTGCGCACCACCGTGCCCAGCTGCATTCTGTGATCTCACCTATAAGGTGAAGGATGTGTTGAGCGAAGGCCACTGGAGCACCTCCCACAATCAGAAGCAGTAGCTACCACGTGACTAGAAAGGTAGGGTGGGGTGACAGTGAGAAAGTCTTCATTTTCCAAGTCACAGTGGCTGGTTAACAGGAGACACCAGAAAGCTGGACATTTAGATGACATGCTTCTTATCCTTGTGATTTTTATTTAGTATGAAGGGTTTCTCGCTCTCCCTGTACATCTTCCACGAGGGTCCAAGAACTCAGCGAGGCTGGTTAACTCAATTCGTGTGATCTGAACTTGTCACAGTAGCCACAAAGTAGTTGCTTTTATTGCAAAATCTCCTTTAAGGTTTTCTTATAATTTAGTCTCTACTTTGAGAAAGAGTCTTGGCTTATTCTTTGTTTTGGAATTAGAGATTATCATAGTTGTGTTCCTTGATACCAAGGATGTTCCCAGTCACATCACCCACCTTCCTGGGCTGACTCTGGGCCAGATATGGACAGGATATGAAGGAAGTGGGACCACAGTCCTGCACTCAGGGGTGTTTACAGTTAGATGAAAGGAAAAAAAAAAAAACCCAAAAAACTAGAACATCGCTAGCTGAGATTAATTGCTGTTTTAAGGATTAAGATCACATCTAGCAAAATGGAGTCAATTGAAACACTTTATGTGGAAACCCAGGAAATTTTACTGGCAAAATTATTTCAACATTTACAGGTCTGAACTTTTGACTTTGGATGTCAGCCCAACTGAATGTTTAGGGACCGAGAATAATGATTAATTACCATTTCTCCAAAGAGGCTGAAGTGTTGAGGAGAGACGAAACAAGGCTCTTTTAAAATTTAACACATTTACTCGAAGATTAGATGAGGGGATAAATAATATATAACAAAAGCGGTAACTGAGACCGCTCCGTGATATGGGAGGAGCAAACGGTGCTGGGTTGCTTCTGCATCAGAGTTAGCTGCTGTCTTTGGGCTCAGGTAAGAACAGTTAAAACAATTTTGTTGATAGCCCACTGTTCACCAGGCAATTGCTAACAGATTTATGTATGTCGTATCCTTTGGTTCTTACTATAAACCCATGGGTAGATATTATTATAACTGGCATTCTAACCCTGTGGAAATTATGGCTCATAGAGGTAAATACACTTGCCCAAGGTTACCTGGCTATTAATCGACAACCCCAGAATTCCAAGCCTTGAGCCTCTGACTTTGAAGCTAATATTTTTAACTATTCCTACTCCTCCCATATGTTTTATGGTAGTTGGGAGAAATGTAGGCTCATTGCTTGTAGCAAACCTCAAACACCTGATCCAAGAGGCTGAAAGGTGAGTGTGGATGTCCACTCCTCTGGGTCAGTGAAACTGCTTCTCTGGTCATTGTCAGCCCTTTGCCAACACCCCACAGGCACAGTTTAAGGCTGACATCTTGAACTTGGCCAGGTGCAGTGGACAGAGGGGACCTGGCTCTGGATGTGAAACCCAGAGAGAGACTGTGGCTGCTTGGCCAACTGTCTCTCTGCCTGTGTGCTGTGGTCTTCCGACTCAGATGGATTAAGTCTGCAGCCAGAAGTACTTCTCAGCCTCTGGTATTTCTTAATTCAGTGGAGTATTTCACAAGCATCAGAGTTAGAGGCAGAATCAACATGTCTCAGAATCAATCCCCTCCTTCAGACGCTCCTGCCTGGTTTGTTGACTTGAGGCTTCTGTGGATTAAGCACTGTTGCAGAGTTCTGGAAATTGTTTTTTTCATTCTGTTTTCCCCGCTCTCTCTGCCCTTCGAATTCGTCCATCATACCCTTGAAGGTCCTTCTTGTTGGCTTCCTCCTTTTATGGCCTTCTTTTCTGGCAACCTGAGAAATGGTGTGGAGTGATTTTGTTGGCACCATCTCAACACCCAGAGCCCTGAACGGATTTCTTCATGGCTTCTTGAGTAGAGATGTGCTGGAAATGCTAAATATACCACACAGTATTTGGGCTTCCCATGTACAAACTTCAAACCAGCAGTCCCCGAGCTCTTGTGGTTCACACTGGTACCCAGGCCTGAATACAAATCAGACCACCATGTTCTTCAAAAGGTGTCAGCATTCATGAAAGTTGAATATGAGTGAGCTACTCTTATTTTTATAATTTCATTTAAATAATATAATTTATTATCATAAATTTACATGTTACTCTACTGCAAATTAAGCTATACCAGGCTTAGCTCCAAGCACAAAGTATACCCCTTATGAATATTATTCTTTTCACAGAGACTCCTAGGAAGGACATAGATTATATTTAAATATTTTAAGAAGTCATTTATTTTCAGTGAATTCAGGGACTTACACTGTGATTGTTTGTCCGGCCTTTCCCCAAACCTGCAGAGCAGGCCATGTTGAGCTAGTTGGGTGCAACTTCTTCATTTCTTTGCCACATCTTTGTTGAGGGCTTCCAGTTGCAGGTCCTGCAGCGTGTCCAAGCAGTGGGGGGAGTAGAAGTGGACTCAGAGCAGTGCCTTCACAGTGGCGTGTCCCACCTGCTGCGTAGACCAGGTGTGCAGATGTAAGACCATTCAGCACAGGACACGAGGGATAGGTCCTCTCACAGCATGACTGATGTGACCCGGAGGAGAGATGGATGCCTGAAACCCATCAGAGCCTGCTGACACTGCTGGCTGCTCTGGGACCACCCGTCTCGGGCCACCAGCCAGGAGCCACCTCCTTCCTCTTCCTTAGAGCCGGGTGCCAACACCCAGAGGGCCACAAGAGGGTGCTTTCCTCCTTCCAGGTTATAGCAGCTCCTTCCACTTCATGGAACTGTGTTTCCTGGGCCCTGGGAAATTCAGGGGTGGGCAGAGGGACGCCATGCGAGGTGAGGGAGAGTGTGAGCAGTGTGTATTTCTATTTTTGTCTGTATTTATGGAATCTCTCCTCCACTGAACTGCAAGCTCTGGGACGGGATCTTGCCTTTTGACTGGCTTACTGTCTGGCACCCCAGAGTTCCTAAATAAATACTCCTGAGTTCAAAGAACCCATCTGGACTTCAAGTCCTCTGTCAGAGGCCTTCAGGTTGTCTGACCATCAGATCCACCCAGGGCCAGCCTGCCCTGACATTCTCCTTCAGTAGTGGGGCCGAAATGTGCTTTGGAAAGCTCTTACATTACTCTGACTCGAGGGCTGCAGACCGGCTCTTCCTGCCCCGCACATGGCTGCCTGGCTTCCCTCCCCGGGCCCCCAGCTGCTGGTGTGTGGGGAGCACATGCCCGCTCCTGGGCCTGCCGTGGAGGTCCCTTCAGCCTGAGCGGCCTGCTTCCCCATCCTCCCCCTCTTCTCATGGGCATCCCCTCCCGTCATCCAGGCCCACAGAGGAAGGGAAGTCCCCAGAGTCACCTTCATGGGCGCAGGAGTGGGGGCACCTGGGAAGACCCATGCAGCATAACAATGATATCTTGGTTTCCACCCCAGGGGCTGCTCCTTCTGCAGGTGGCACACAGGGGCCACCTCTTCTGTTACACTGAACTGAATACTTAGACGAACATGGGTGCGACAGTGGAGAGCCCCCCAAGGTTGGGGCAGGGTTTCTCTTAACAACTGAGACCAGTAAATCTGTTTTCCAGATTTCCAGCAGGAAACTCAAGGGTATTGTGATGGTTATGGAGGAGAGTAACACTCGATAAAGAAGGGTCCTTTTAGGCTGGGCATGTTGCTCAGGGGCAGAGCACTTGCCTAGCAAGTGGGTTTGATCCCAACACCCCAAAAGGAAGGGTCCTTTTGTTTTGGGGCTTGGCAGTGCTAGTGTAGGTACACAAAGAGCTGGGGCCTTGGGGCGAGTGTCTCTGTATAGAGCCCGGGTGAGTGTGCCTCACCGGGGTGTCTGTGGACGGGTCAGCTAACAGCGTCAGTTCCATGAAGTCTTTTCTCATTGACCAGGCTGGAGATTAGTACCTGTTCACAGGGTCACATGCAGAGTTGGTTTTAGTTAGTTACAAAGTTGTCAGTTTATGTTCAGTATCAATAGAAGAAACAGCTTTTGAAACTTGCATTTGAAACTCTGTTTTAGGATGTGGTAGAGGAAGTTATTTTCTCTCCATTGGAAAGATTCTGGCTTGATTTTTCTGATGGACGTGGTGGTCTGTGTGACTCACTGCTGGTCCATGGGCATCGACTGTGGGCGTCACCGTGATGGCCACCCTGGCCTCACCTTGGCTCTGTTTATATTCTTGCTTTTTAAAAAAACTTTCCTCTCACTTTTTATTCATGTTTTGTGCAGTAAGTATTTGTGTAAGTTGTGTTTTCAATCTTTCCGAGATGATGAATAAATTCTGAGACAATAAAATTTGAAAGATGCATTTTTCTTAAATAAACAAGCAAGCATGCCGAATGCAGTTCTCACAGGGCTGGCTGGTTGGGAGCTGGCCCATAACAGAAACGTCAGCTTTATGTAAGGGTCTCTTTCTCCTCTGTGAGTTTGAGTGGAGACTCACAGGGCCGTATTAGAAGGGTGTGGTAAAGGGATTCTCACCACCGAAGCCCTGAAAGGTGTTCCTGCGTTAGGTAGCAATCAGGTACAATTTGAGAAACTCATACAAAGACTGGAATACCTGTTCGATTATTTTGGAACAGGTATTCCAGTCTTTGTATGAGTTTCTCAAAGCAGTCAAGGGGGACTGGCTCTTTGCCAGCCACACATTGTGAAATCTTGGTTCCTCGCCTTTTGAATCCCCTTCCACTATGGCTTCTGTCACGCTGTGGCTCTGGGTGGTGCCTCTGCCTGGGCTGCTTTGGTCAGAGGCCCGTTTTCTCACACCTCTCTGGATTTCCTTCTCACGACCCATTCTCTGATTCTCTATCATAAAAGATTTATGAAGTAGGCTGACAAAGACGATTCTTCTGCTGTGGGTGGGTTGGGAATTCTCAGATGCTAATAAATCTCTGTCATCTGGGAAATAAAAAGAGGGATGAACGTGGTAGAAAACCCTGGAATGCGGCCTTGCCTCAGGAGTAAGTGCGGGCTGCAGCGCCTGAAGGGGGCAGTTGAGGCAGAGGTTCCAGAGCTGGCCTCTTCTGCTCCTGTCTGTAACCACACTTCCCTGGCTCCAGGGCAAGGGACTTCATGGCCTCAGCCTGGAGGTAGAGTCGCAACGCCCTCCTACTGGACCAGGCTGAAGGTGTAGGTGCCGATCGGGGGACATCTGGGGGGAGCAAAGGAGCCATGCTGCCCTTGGTCTCCGTGAAGTGCTGGAGTGGCCGCAGAACCACACCACCCTCTTCAGTGTGGAGCAAGGAGGGAAAGAGTCCAATTCATTACACCCAATTTCCTGCTGGAAAGTGGAGGTTTCCATTCACAAAGTGAGTTATTTTCTTGCTCCAAGAAATCCAGTAAGTAATATGTTTATTTACTGCAAACCCATATGCTTATATATGGTACACCAACTTCTGGTCCCTGATCAAGCCTCCTGTGTAAGGATCACAGTTGAAGGGAATCAGAAATAGGTAGAGGCTAGGACAGAAGATTGAGCCACAGAAATATTGACCCAGTACCACAGGGTTAATTGATAGGATCATTCGAATTGAACTTATGGATTTTCCTTCTCACTTTATATTCTTTTCTTCAGTGAATATTTATTGAGTGCCTGCTATTTGTGAGTTCTGCTAAGTGCTAAGAACATTAAGATGATAAGGCACTGGCCTCTGCCACCCAGGAACTGTGTCATAGATAGTAAGGGACACGGGAGAGTACAGAGGATAATTAAATCACAACACACACAAGGCCACAGTTGGGGTAAACCAGAAAGTGGTGGGAACCCAGAAGAGGGAGGAACTCCTGTGACCTCCAAGGGTCACGGAGGGGAGCCCTGGGGCCAGGATTATGCGTAAGAAAGAGTTTGCTCTTTTGCCGGGGTTACATTTACTAGGTTTTAGTTTGATCACTCTGTTTCACAAATATTAGAAACCATCTTCTGGCCAAATATGGTCTTAGCATTTGGTCTTTTGGTTCTCC